GGGCGGGATCTATAGGGGATCCCTGAGGGCACGCACCGCCAGTAGGGTCCTCTAGGGGGTTTTTATGAGGTGGCTGAGGCTCCGTAAAGCTCTGACGCCCTATAGGAAACCTCTGGAGGGTCCATAGGGGGATTCTATAGGGTCTGGAGACCTATAGGGGTCCCTATAGCAGGGGGGATCCCCCCCGGCCCCTCTCCTTCCACTTCCGCTTCCCCCCCGGAACCTTTTCACCGCCGCACCACGCGAGGTGCCCGCACATTCCGGTCCCCCTGGTGGCCACTTCCGGGTGGCGCCGGTCGCGCGGCTGTCGCTGTCGCCTGTCGCGACAGGGAGGCGGCCCGGCCGTGTCGGGGGTCGCCGGTCGCTGTCGCGATGAGGGCGGGGACGGTGCTGCGGCTCTGCGCGCGCCCGGGGCTCCGGTACCGGCAGGGGCAGCGGCCGGGGCCTGGAACCCGCGAGTATTTTTATTACGTGGATCACCAGGGGCAGGTGAGGGGGGATCGATAAGGGATTGATAAGGGATCGATAGGGGATCGATGGGGGTGGGGGGGTCTGGAGGGTCCTGGGGAATGGATCCCGGGGAGATCCCACCCGGATTCTGGGCAGATCCCAGAGAGATCCCGAAAAAATCCCAGGGAGAATCCGGGATGGATCCCAGATCAATCCCGGCAGGATCCCGGCCAGATCCCAGATTAATCCCAGGTTAAACCCAGATTAAATCCAGGTTAAACCCAGATTAAATCCAGACAGATCCCAAACATACCCCAGATGGATCCTGGACAGATCCCAGTCCAATTCCAGACAAATCCCCGCCGGATTCCAGAGGGATCCCAAAAAATCCTTTCAGTGGGCTCAGAGCAGGTGCCAGAAAAATCCCCAAAAAAGCAAATCCCGGCTGGATCCCGCAGAGGGATTCAGGACGGATCCCAAACCCATCCCAGAGAAAAATCCCGCCATTTTTCCAGGAAAACTCGAGCGTTTTGAGGCTTTTTCCCGCTTTTTCCGGCTTTTTTTCCACAGCTTTTCCTGGACGACACCAAAGTCAAGAACTTCATCACCTGCTTCAAAGGTACCTCCCTAATTAGGGCCCCCTTCTTAATTAGGATCCGATTACTAATTAGGATTCGATCATTAATTGGGATTTCAGCCTTAATTAAGATTTAATCCTTAATTAGGGAGGGTTGAACCTAGGGAAAGGCGGGACCACCTAATTTGAATATTAATCCCTCATTAGTTAATCATCCCCTCATTAATTAATCACTCCCTCGTTCATTAAATTTCCTAATTATTAGATTCCCTAATTAACTAAGAAATTCCATAATTAATGAAGACAATCCCTAATTAATTCATTCATTAATCCATTTTTAATTAATCAATTTTAGGAAGCATTTCCCCTTCCCAATTCCTCTTTTCCTTCATCCCAAATCCCTCAAATTCCCAGAAAATCCCAAAAAACTCATTCCCACATTCACACAATTCCCTAATAATTGAATTCCCTATCTAATTAAAAAATTCCTTGATTAATTAAGAAAACCCCTCATTAATTAAGAAATCAATTCCCAATAAAAAAATTTAATTTTAGGAAGCATTTCCCCTTTCCAATTCCTCTTTTCCTTCATTCCAAATCCCTCAAATTCCCAGAAAATCCCAAAAAACTCATTCCCACATTCACACAATTCCCTAATAATTGAATTCCCTATCTAATTAAAAAATTCCTTGATTACTTAAGAAAACCCCTAATTAATTAATTAATTAATTAAGAAATTGGTTTCCAATAAAAAATTTAATTTTAGGAAGCATTTCCCCTTCCCAATTCCTCTTTTCCTTCATCCCAAATCCCTCAAATTCCCAGAAAATCCCAAAAAACTCATTCCCACATTCACACAATTCCCTAATAATTGAATTCCCTATCTAATTAAAAAATTCCTTGATTACTTAAGAAAACCCCAAATTCATTAATTAATTAAGAAATTGGTCCCCAATAAAAAATTTAATTTTAGGAAGCATTTCCCCTTCCCAATTCCTCTTTTCCTTCATCCCAAATCCCTCAAATTCCCAGAAAATCCCAAAAAACTCATTCCCACATTCACACAATTCCCTAATAATTGAATTCCCTATCTAATTAAAAAATTCCTTGATTACTTAAGAAAACCCCTAATTAATTAATTAATTAAGAAATTGGTTTCCAATAAAAAATTTAATTTTAGGAAGCATTTCCCCTTCCCAATTCCTCTTTTCCTTCATTCCAAATCCCTCAAATTCCCAGGAAAAAAACCCAAAAAAACTCCACAAGAACCCCAAAAACCACCGGGAAAACACCCAGAAAAACCCATAAAACACACCAGGAAAAACCCCTTTAATCAGCCACCCCGGAATTCTGGGAATTCCGGGAGCTGATCCATGAATTCCTCCATCCCAACAGACGTTGGATTCCTCTCCTTCTTCTTCAAGCATCTGGAGCGGAACCGGAGCGGGCGTTACCAGGTGGAATTCCCGTTCCTTTCCCGCTGCGGCCGGGAGCGGAATTTCCTGCGCTGCGACGACGTTCCCGTGGTTTTCACTCAAATCCTGCCCGGATCCGGCGGGAATTCCCTCCTTTCCTACTGCGGAGGCGGCTCCCAGCTGACGGTGCCGTTCCAGCCGGGAATGCTGGCGGTATTCCCGGAAAACGGGCGGCTTTACCACCCGGCTCCGGAAAAAGCCGGAGGGGTGGGATTGGTGCGTTCGGCGCTGGCGGCCGAGTGGAGCTCGGAATTCCGATTTGAGGAAGGGCCGGAAAAGCCCCCGACGCATTTCGTGTGGGAAGGGAGGAGGTATCGGCTCTCCGGGGAATTATTGGGAATTCTGCGGGCGGAAAAATCGGGATGGGAGGTTGAACCCGTCAAATCCCGCGCGGAATGAGGCGGAATTCCCAGCGATTCCCCAGGAAGCGGGAGATTGCCAACCTATTCCCAAGGAATCGGAGCATCCCGAAATTCCGGGCAGCCGAACCCCGCGGATTTCCTGTGAAATCCCCGTGAAATTCCCATGAAATTCCCGTGAAATTCCCATTAAATTCCCGTGAAATTCCCAGGAAATTCCCATGAAATTCCCAAAAAAAAAGCATGGAAGTTGTTCTGTCAATTCTTCCTTGCGGGGTCGGGATTTGGGATCAAGGATTTGGGAATTTGAGAGGGATTTGGATGAAACTGAGGCTGTGGCAGCTTATTAATTAATAATTAATTAACAATAATTAATTAATAATTAATCCTTAATTAATAATTAACTCGTAAATCATTAACAGCCCAAGGGAATTAAGGGAATTCTGCGGTTTTTTTGCCCCTCTGGATGTGGAAATAAAAGTTCTGCGAAAAGAGCGGGATGAGGGGGGAAAAAAACAACGGGATCGGGGTGGAAAAATCCCGGGATGAGGGGGAAAATATCGGGATGGGGTGGAAAAACATTGGGATAGGGGGAAAATATCGGGATGGGGAGGAAAAATCCTGAAATAAGACAGAAAACTTGGGGATGAGGTGGGAAAAAACCGAAATCAGGCGGAAAAGCACCGAAATAACGGGAAAAAACACTGGAATGAGGCGGAACACGACTGGATTTTGGGAAGGAGGAGGAAGAGGGATGGAGCTTTTCCCGAGTCACAAGGAGAAGTAGTCCAGGGCTCCGTGGCCGTAGGGATTGGAAGTCCAGACGAGGTCGGTCCTCCCGGAATTTGCCAGCGTTTGGGAAAACTCCGCCTCGACCGCCTCCAAAAGCTCCCCATCCATGGGCTCCTCAAAATTCCAATCGGATTCCGACGGCTCCGGCTTGTAGCAATCGACGGGGAAGGGATACACGACCAGGTGGAGATCGGGCAGCTCCAGGGTTTTCTGGAGCAGATCCTTGAGCGCGGCCGTGGACAGGGAATTGCCGTAGAGTCCCAGGAAGCGCAGGCGGGAGCAGCGCCGGAGCGTCGGGAGCAGCGCGTCCAGGTGGGAGTCGGCCATGCGGCATTCCATGAGATCCAGGTGCAGCAGCGAGGCCGAGGTTTCCTCCAGGAGCAGCCGGAGCGGCTCCAGGAGGCCTTGGGAGAAGTCGTGGCCGCTCAGATCCAACCTTTTGAGGGCGGGAGCGTGGAAGCTTTGAGAGAGGAAGGCGAGGTCGGCGGGAACGAGGGAGCAGAAGGCCAATTCCAAGCTTTCCAACGGAGCCTGGAGGTCGCTGGCGGGAGGGAAAAGGGAGAGGTGAGGCCCGAGGGAGGATTTGTGGCAGCTGGGAATGTTGGGATTCACGGGGGAAAGGCGGGGAATGAGAGCTGGGATTGCATCCGTGGGATCGGGGGATGGCTGAGGTTGGGAAAGGTCTCCAAGAACACAGAGTTTGAGCTCGGAGAATCCTGGGAATTCGGAATGATGGATTTATGGAATGGCTGAGGTTGGGAAAGGCCTCCAAGACCATCAAGGTTTGAGAATCAAGGAATTGTGGGATCAAATCATGGAACTGTGGGATCAAATCATGGAATTGTGGAATGGATGAAGTTGGGAAAGAGCTCCAAGACCATCGAGTTCAAGGTTTGAGAATACTGGAATTGTGGGACCAAGGAATCATGGAATTGTGGAATGGCTGAGGTTGAGAAAGGTCTCCAAGACCATCGAGTTCAAGGTTTGAGAATCAAGGATTTATGGGATCAAGGAATCACAGAATTGTGGAATCAAACCATGGAATTGTGGAATGATTCAGGAAAGGTCTCGGAGACCATCGAGTTTTACCTTTGAGAATCATGGAATGATGGGATCGTGGAGCCAGGGGAATTGTGGAATTGTGGGGTGTTGGGATCACGGAGTTCTGGAATTATGGAATCCTGGGATATTGGGATTCTGGGATCAGGGAGTCATGGAATTATGAGATCATGGAATTGTGGGACCACGAATCCATTAAAGTTGGAAAAGGCTTCAAGATGATCAAATCCAACCTTTGGGAATCCTGGAATGAAGGAATTTTGGGATCGTGGAATTACGGGATGACGGAATCATTGAATCATAAACTATTGGGAAAACGGAATCATGGGAATATTGGAATAAAGAATTTCTGGAACCAGTGGATCATTCAGGCGGGAAAAGTCCTTCAAGACCATTGAGCCCAACCTTTGGGAACCTTGGAATTAAAGAATTCTGGGATCATGAATTTATGGGATAACAGAATCGCTGAGTCATGAGGTATTGGGATAACAGAATCACGGGATCCTGGGAACATGGGGATAATGAAATCCTGGAATCACAGGATCACTCAGGTCGGGAAGGACTTCCAACACCATGGAGCCAAACCTTTGGGATTCCTGCAATTGTGGCATCACGGAATTATGGGAGAATGGAATCACTGAGTCATGAAATACTGGGATAACGGAATCACGGGAACGTTGGGATAATGAATTCCTGGAACCAATGGATCATGCAAGCTGGAAAAGACCTTCAAGGCCATTGAGTCCAGCCTTTGGGAACCTTGGAATTAGGGAATTCTGGGATCAGGAATTTATGGGGCAATGGAATCGCTGAGTCATGAACTATTGGGAAAACAGAATGATGGGAACATGAGGATAATGAAATCCTGGAAGCAGGGGATCGCTCAGGCTGGAAAAGACCCCCAAGATCCCCAACCCTTGGGAATCCCCCGGAGCGCGGGAAGGGCCCGGCCAGGCCCCGGCTGGACGGGGAACTCACCAGAGGATCTGACGCAGATTCCCGGAGAGCCGGGAGGATCCCAGGTTGAGCTCCCGGAGGCTGGGCAGCATTCCCAGCTGCCCGGCCAGGCACCGGATCCCGATGGCCGATTCCGGCGTCGGGCGCCGCACGTCCACGTTGCTGTACTGGAGCTTGAGGCTGCGCAGCTCCGGGAAGCGCGAGAGGTGCGGCAGGATCACCGAGAGCCCGGTCAACCCCAAATTGTTGAAGCGCAGATCCACCCTCCGCACACGGGAGGGATGCAAGGATTCCAACAAAGTCACGATCCCGGACGCCGAGAGTTCCTCCGCTTGGAATTCGCGGCACTTGAGGCGCAGCGGGCCGGCGGCTCCGGTCTGGAGCGCGTCGCGCAGGATCCCGTAGGACGTTCCGTTGACGAACAGGTCGGCGTGGACGTCCACGCCCGGGGGCTGCGGAGCGGCCGCGGCCGTGGCGGCTCCGGAACGGCCTTTGTGCCGCTTGGATCCGCGCCTCTGGAATTCCCGCTGGTGCTTGGAAACCTCCACGCAAGCCTTGGCCAAAGCCACGGTGCCGGACCAGACGCTCATCCCGTCCGGAGCGCGGCCGGACGCGGAATCTGGGAGTCCGGTCATGTCCAGCACCCTCAGACTGCAAAATTGGAAGAAACGGTGAAAAAGGGCAGAGGAAATGAAGGAATTGAAGGAAGGGAGATAGTGGCCATCCCGGAATTCCCAAAACCCACCTGGAATCGCGGTCGGGCTCTTCCAGCTCCCGCCGGAGCTGCGCCACCACGGCCAGGATGACGGCCTGGACGCAGAGCTTGCAGGGATGATCCCGGAGCAGCTCCCGGCGCCCCACCAGCCGCTGGAAGTTGAGCACCGGGAAAGGCCAAGCGGCCACCAAATCCCGCAGGACCAGGGGTCTTCCATCCAGGAATGCCGCTTGGAAAAGGATGGGATAGAGGTGGGCGGGAAGGGCGGGAAGGATGGGAAGTGGGTGGTGGGCCACGATGCGGCGGGCGCAGAGGAAAAGGAGGGAATCCATGGATTCTGCGGGGCTGTGGGTATTAGGTGAAATTGGGGGACCCCCGGGATGAGGGGGAACCACGGGAGAATTCCAGGGAAAGCCCGAATCCAAGGATATCCCGAAGAAAAGGGAAGATGTGGCAGAAGGTGGGGGCGGCAAAGGGCGCGTTGTGAGGGAACCCCCAGCGCGGCTCCCCAAAAACGGCGTCCCGGAATACCCCCACTGCACCCAGGGACTTCCCAAAATCCCCCTGGGATCGCAAATTTCCCCGGGGATCTCGAAATTCCCTCATGGATCCCTAAATTAGCCCAAAGTCCCCTCAGGGATCCCCAAAAATGATCCTGCCGCCCCCCCCCAGCATGGCGCCTCCCACTCACCGCCCACCCGCAGCCCCCGCTCGCCCCGAGCCCGTACGGAAGCTCCACTTCCGCGTCTGCGCGTTGCTGAAACCAATCAACGAGCGAGACCCACCCCGGGGGGCGTGTACTTTACGTTTTATTGGCTCTTACTGCTGTCTGTCATTGTTTTGTTAAATGCTCATTGGTTGGCTAGCTGTGTAGGTGGGTATTTTTAAATCCGCCTTCCTATTGGCTCCTCTTACTGTCAATCAGCAATCCTTGCCTTCCCATTGGCTGGCGTTTGGCGGGAGAGGGAAGTTCGCTGTGTCCCTGTATCCCCGAATCCCGATCCCCATCCCCTGTTCCCGATCCCGATCCCCGATCTCTGTCCCCGATTCCCGATCCCCGGTTCCCGATCCCGGATCCTGCGGCCATGGAGCGGCAGCAGGAGCTGAAGGTGCTGCTGAAACGCTGGGAAGCGGAATTTCTGCGGGAACGGCAGCGGAAACCCAGCCAGGTGCTCCTGAGGGCGGGAATTTGTGAGGGGAAAGCTCTGAGGGGAATCCCTGGATTTGGGGGGAGGGGGAGGGGCTGGTTTGGGGGTCCTTGAGGTGGTTTAGGGGGTCCCTGGATTTGAGGGAGTCGGTTTTAAGGGGTCCTGGGTCTTTTTGGGGTGGTTTAGGGGGTCCCTGGGGTGGTTTTGGGGTACTGGGCAGGTTTTGGGGTGGTTTAGGGGGACCCTGGGGTAGTAGGGGTTTAATTTAGGGGTGTCCTGAGGGGATTTGGGGTGTCCCTGGATTTGTAGGGGTTAGTTTAGGAGCTCCTGGGGATTTTTGGGGTGTTCTTGGGGTGGTTTAGGGGGTCCTCGGTATTGTGGGATTGGTTATGGGGAGGATTTATGAGGATTTTGGGGTGTCCCTGGAATGGGGGAGCATTTTGGGGGGGTCTGTTGGGGTCTTTGGAGTTGTTTAGGGGGGCTTCTGGAATGGGGTGAGTTGATTTAGGGGGTCCTGGGGTTTTTTTTTTGAGGTGCTTTTGGGGTCTTTGGGGTGATTTAGGGGGTCCCTGGAATGGTGGGGATTGGTTTCAGGGGAGATTTATGGGGGTTTTGGGATGTCCCTGGAATTTTTGGGGTGCTTGGGGAGTATTGGGGGGATCAGGTCATGGAGAGCCTCGGGGGATCCTTGGAGAGGTTTTTTCCTGTTAATTTTTCCATAAAAAAAGCATCCAGGTGAGGCTTTTCCATAGGATTTTCCACCATAAAGCTGCTCCAACCCTGATTTTCTTTCAAAATAAACTCCAAATCAAAAAAAACCCACCCAAATCCCAAAAAAACCCCACCCAAATTCTTTCCCAGAAAATTGGGATAATTCCCAAAATTCATAATTTTATGGGATGTGTTTCCCTCACAGGCTGACATCGAGGAAGCTCCAGAGGAAACCCGGAGTGAGTTTTATTTTGGGAATTTTGGGATATTTGAGGTTCCTGGGTTTATAACATAATTTTTTTCCAAAAATTCCCAATTTTCCTTGGATTTTCTCCCGCAGAGCTCTACAAGGAGTACAAGATGCTGAAACAGCAGGGAAAAACATTGGATTCCTCGGGAAAAACGGGATCCCAGGAAATCCCAAATGTGGAGCAGGTCCTGAAAAACCCCCTTGGACTTCTGGTGTTTCCAAAATTTCTCCTTGATCCAAATTTTTTGGGAATTTTCCCTGAGTTTTCCTACTGTGGGCAAAGCCATGTTCATCACAATTGGTTTTAGGGGATTTTTTGGGAAAATTTGTGCTGGATAAGGAATATTTTTGGCTTAAGACCCCCCCAAAAATGGGAAAAAAAAAGGATTTGGGGTGGAAAACGGGATTTGGGGGCGTTTTCATCCCAAAATTTCCCATGGAATGATCAAATTCCATTGGTTTTCCATCTTTAGGATGAATCTGAGCTTGGTTTTGGGGCGATTTTGGGCTGGGATTGAGTGGATTTGGGAGATTCTGAGGGTTTGGGGCTGGGATTGAGCAAATCTGAGGGATTTTTGGGATTTAGGGTTGGGATTGAGAAGATTTGGGAGATTTTTGGGGGGATTTTGAGCTGAGATTGGGCAGATTTGGGGGATTTTGGGGTTTGGGGCTGGGATTGAGCAGATCTGGGGGATTTTTGGGAGTTTGGGTTGGGATTGAGCAGATTTAGGAGATTTTTGGGGGGATTTTGGGCTGAGATTGAGTGGATTTGAGAGATTTTGGGCTGAGATTGAGCTGATCTGGGGGATTTTTGGGGATTTTGGTGTCATTGCAGGTGGCGGATTCGGGATTTTGGGGCTCCCACCTGAACCGGGCACCAAAAATTCCCGGGAAAAGCCAGAGCAGGAGCGCCAGACCAGGAATTTCAGCAGAATTTTACGGGATGAAGCTCAAAGCCAAACTGGGAACGACTGGGAAGGTCAGAAATGGGGGGGAAAAAGGGGAAAGGCATTTTTTGTGGGGGTGTTTGGGGGATTTTTCAGCCCAAAATTTGGGTTATTCCTGAGGGAGAATCTCAAAATTAGGAATCCCAAAAATTGGAAACCCCCAAAAGTTGCAGAATCCCAAATGAGACACCTCAAAAATCAGGAACCTCAAACTGAGAGAGCTCAAAAATTTGAGTCCCCAAAATCAGAGACCCCAAAAGTCCAAGAATCCCAAAATTTGTGACCTCTAAATCAAAGACCCCAAAAACAGACGACCCCAAAATTTGGAGAACCCCAAAACCAAAAACCCCAAAAATCAGAAACCCCAAAAATCAGACATCCCAAAATGTGAGACCCCAAAAATTGGAGAATCCCAAACTCAGGGGCCCCCAAAAGTTGGGAGATCCCAAAATCAAAAAGCCCAAAATTAAGAATCCTAAATATTGGAGAATCCCAAAATCAGAGATCCTAAAAGCTGGCAAATCCCAAAATTAGGGACCCCAAAAATCAGCTACACCAAAGTCAAAGACCCCAAAATTAAAATCCCAAAAATTGGAACCCCAAAAGTTGGAGAATCCCAAAATCAGAGAATCCCCAAACCAGGAAACCCCTAAAAATTTGAGGCCCCAAAACTTGGATTCTCCAAAATCAGGGACCCCTAAAATCCAGGCCCTGTTGGATTTGGGATTTGGAATTCCATAGGAGAAAAAAAATCGGGATCTGACCCCTTGCTTTCCTCCAGGAGCCTCCTCTGACCCCTCGGAGGACCCCAAATCCCAGAAGAATCCCAAAAATTCCCCAATCCCAAAAAAACCCGGAGTGCGGAGCCGAAGCTTCACCAGCGGAGCCATCACAGAATGAAGGAAAATCCGAAAATCCCGAAAAATCCGGAGATTCCGAGGAATTTGAAGACCTCGTCCTTCCTCCCTTGGTGCCGGGATTGGGTCCCCTCAAGCTCCCGACGGGAATAAATCCCAGTTTTCCTTCCATTCCCGAAAAATTCCAGCAGCTGAAGCAGAGGGTGGCCCAAACTTTGGGATCGCTGGATCCCGGCTGGATCCAGAGGTGCCAGGAATCCCCTAAAAAATGGGAATTCCCAGCTGGATCCGTGACGGAAAAAGAGGAAATCCAGCCCGAATCCATTGGGAATTCCGTGAGGAAAAGGCCCCGGGAAGGTGGAGGCACCGGGGAGGCTCCGGCCAAGCTCCGGAGGGGCCTCCAAGGATCTGATCCAGGAATTTTTGGGATGAGGCGAATCCAGAAGGAAAATGGGGATGAGGGAGAGTGGCCGGAATCCCAAAATGGAGCTGGGAAGGCACCGGAACGCTTGGAAAAAATCCTGGAAGAGGAGAAAAAACCCAAACCCACACGCAGAACCCGGTAATTCCCAGTTTTTCCTGTTTTTTCTGGGATTTTTTCCCAGTTTTTCCAAGATGGGAAGATTTGGGATTTGGAGAATCCCAAAATCAGGGAGTTCAGAATGAAAGACCCCAAAAATCAGAGCCTAAAAGTTGGAGAATTCCAAAATTTGGGACCTTCCCAAATGAAAGATCCTTAAAATTAAAGAGTCCAAAATTTGCAGACCTCAAAAATCGGATCCCTCAAATTTAGGGAATCCCAAAAATCAGGGACCCTAAAAATTGGAGAATCCCAAAATTAGAGACCATCCCAAATCAAAAACCCCAAAGTTAAGGACCATAAAAATGGGGGTTTAGGGCAAAAAATGGGGAATTTGTCCTAAAAAAATTCAGATTTCCCCATAAAATTTGTCTGGAAAAAATGGGAATTTTTTTTCCCATAGAAATTTGGAATTTGTGCCAAAAAAAATCAGATTTTGTTTCCCATAAAAATGGGGAATTTGTGCCCAAAAAAAATGGGATTTCTTTTTCCATATAAAAATGGGAAATTTGTGCAAAAAAAAATCAGAATTTTTTTCCTCATAAAAACGGGGAATCTGTCCCAAAAAGTTGGGATTTCTTTTCCTCATAAAAATAGGATTTTACAGAATAAAGTCAGGAAATTTGTCTCAAAAAATAGTCTTTTCCTCATAAAAATGTGATTTTAGGGCATAAAAACGGGAAGAATCCCAAAATTCAAGATTCCATAAAATAAAACCAAAAATAAGGACCCCAAAATCAGAAAAATCCCAAAAACCTGAGAACCTCCAAAAATGGGAAACCCAAAATTCAGTTTTTTCCAGCTTTTCTAAGATTCCCTCTGGCTTTAATCCCTCTTTTCCCTCAGAGTCCAGCCCCGAAACGGCGGGAATTTCGTCCTCCTCAACCTGAAGAGAAAAACGTATTCCCGTGGAAACCTGAGGGGAAAATTCCTTCGGAAACGGGTAAAACCTTCCCAAGTTTTTTTTTTTGGCAATCCCCAGCCTTTTCCCCACTGGAATTCCTGGGTTTGGAATTTTTTTTTTTCCCCCAGATTTGGAAACAGAAATGGAGGAAAAAGTTCGGGGCCGGATCCGATCTTTGCTTCCGGTGTGGCGGGAAAGGCCACTGGGCCTCGGAATGCCCAGGTGAGGCCGGGGATTTTTTGGGATTACTGAGGGGATTTTTTGGGATAAAACAGCAGGAAAAGGGTGAGGGGGCTTCTTTTCCATGGATTTTAGAGGGAATTGCCCATTTTGTGCACGCAGGGAAGGATTTGGGATCGTTCCAGGAGGAAATTCCGGAGGAGGAGGAGGAAGCGCTTCCCACTCTGGAAGAAGTGGCCCGAAGGACCAACGGCGTTTTTATGCCGGAGATTCCCGGTGAGACCAGGAATTACGGAATTCCTGCTTTTTCCCAGGGAAAGGGTGGGAAATGAAGGGAGGTTGGCCTCAAAAATTGGAATTTGGGGCTCTAAAAATGTGGGATTTGGGGCTTAAAACTGGAATTTTGGCCACAAAAATGCGATTTTTTTTTTTTTCTCCTAAAAGTATGAGTTTCTCCTAAAAAGGGGGTGGGTCTTAAAAACCAGGATTTGGGATCAAAAAATGTGGGATTTGGGCTTAAAAATGAGGACTTTTGGCGCTAAAAATCAGGGATTTGACACTAAAAATGAGGGTTTTGGCCTTAAAACTGTGATTCTTTTCCCTAAATTTGGGCGGGATTTATCCTAACAAGGAAGTGGATCCTAAAAATCAGGATTTGGGATCTGAAAATGTGGGATTTGGCCCCAAAAATGAAATTTAAGACCCTAAAAATGAGAATTTCTTTCAAAAAAATTTGGGTTGGATCCTAAAAATGAGGAGTTTTCCCACAAAATATGCAAGTTTAGATCCTAAAAATGGGATTTTTCTCCCCAAAAACTGAGGTTGGATCCTACAGATGTGGATTTTCCCTCAGAAGATGTGGGAGTTGTCCCTGAAAGTGACATTTTAGGGCCTAAAAATGGGATTTTTTTTCCCGCAAAGACCTGAAATTTTCCTCCTAAAATCCTGTTTTTTTCCCCTTTTCCCTCCAGATGGTGGCTCCAGTGCAGAAAATTCCCAGATCACCCCAAATTCCCAGGATTTCCTTCAGCCGGAATTCTCCCCCCCATCCCCTCCTCCACCCCCTGTGGATCCCCTTTACCCCCCAAACCCCGACGGGACAATCCCAGGTAAATCCCAGAGCAAACCCATGGAAAAATCACAGAATAAAAAACATGGGAAAAAAAATCCACATTCCCACCTCCTGAATCCCACAGATCCTCCAGAAGAAGTCCTGGAAACTCTGAGAATTTTGGGATATGATTCCTTCCGGCCTGGCCAGGCCGAAGCCATCATGAGGGTCCTTTCCGGTTAGATTTTCCTGCCCTTTTTCCAGTCTATTTTTTCCTATCCTTTTTCCCATTTTTTTTCCTGCCTTTTTTTTCCATCTCTTTTTCCCCTCCATTTTTCCTACTTTTTTTCCTGCCATTTTCCTTTCCATTTTTCCCATCCTTTTTGCTGCTTTTTCCCTCAGTTTTTCCCACCCTTTCCCCCTCAGTTTTCCCGCCCTTTTCCCCTCAGGTTTTCCTGCCCTTTTTCCCACCATTTCCCTCTCCATTTTTCCCACTCTTCTTGCTGCTTTTTCCCCTCAGTTTTCCCTCCCTTGTTCCCTCCATTTTTCCCACCCTTTTCCCTCAGTTTTCCCACTCTTTTCCCCTCAGTTTCTCCCACCTTTTTCCCTCAGTTTTCCCACCCTTTTCCCCTCAGATTTTACCGTGCTTTTCCCTTACATTTTTCCCACCCTTTTTCCCACCATTTTCCTCTCCATTTTTCCCACCCTTTTTGCTGCTTTTTCCTTCAGTTTTTTCCCCCACTTTTCCCCTCAGGTTTTCCTGCCCTTTTTTCCCCTCAGTTTTTCCCCCCCTTTTCCCCTCAGTTTTTCCCCCTGCTTTTCCCCTCAGGTTTTCCTGCCCTTTTTCCCACCATTTCCCTCTCCATTTTCCCCACTCTTTTTGCTGCTTTTTCCCTCAGTTTTTCCCACCCTTTTCCTCTCAGTTTTTCCCACCCTTTTCCCCTCAGTTTTTCCCCCTGCTTTTCCCCTCAGGTTTTCCTGCCCTTTTTCCCACCATTTCCCTCTCCATTTTCCCCACTCTTTTTGCTGCTTTTTCCCTCAGTTTTTCCCCCCCTTTTCCCCCCAGGTTTTCCCGCCCTTTTCCCACCATTTTCCTCTCCATTTTTCCCACCCTTTTTGCTGCTTTTTCCCTCAGTTTTCCCACCCTTTTCCCCTCAGGTTTTCCTTCTCTTTTTCCCTCAGTTTTCCTCCCCTTTTCCCTCACCCAGCTTCCCAAAATTCCCTCTTTTTCCCAGGAATCTCCACGCTGGTGGTGTTATCCACAGGGATGGGCAAATCCCTGTGCTACCAACTTCCCGCTTTTCTCTACCACCGACATTCCGGCAGCGTCTCCCTGGTCATTTCCCCTCTCGTATCCCTCATGGACGATCAGGTATTTCCATAATTCCCGCTTTTTCCCCATTCTGCTGGAAGATCCCAGCAAAAAACCCCGGAATATTCCCAATCCCAGGTTTCCGGCCTCCCCTCAGCCCTCAAAGCCGTCTGCATCCATTCCAACCTCTCCCAGTCCCAGCGGGAAGCAGCCATGGAAAAAGTGAGTAAAATTCCCCATTTTCCACCTTTAGGATTGCAGAAATCCGGGATAATCCCAATTTTCCACCAGGTCAGGAGCGGCAAAGCCCAAATCCTGCTGCTTTCCCCGGAATCTCTGGTGGGATCGGGATCTTTTTCCCCTTTTTTCCGGGATTTCCCTCCCGTGGCTTTCGCCTGCCTGGATGAGGCTCACTGCGTCTCCCAATGGTCCCACAACTTCCGGCCCGCTTACCTCCGGATCTGCAAGGTGGGAAAACCTGGAAAAACCTTGGAAAAATCCCAAAAAAAGAAGCGGGAAAACCCCTCAAATCCTGCTTTTTTTCCCCCCGGAATTCCAGGTTCTCCGGGAGCGCTTTGGCGTCCGATGCTTCCTGGGCCTCACGGCCACGGCTACGGCGGCCACGGCTCGGGACATGGCCCAACATTTGGGAATTCCTCCGGAAAACGGGATCGGGATCCGTGCCGCCGGAATTCCCGAAAACCTGCGGCTCTCCGTGTCCATGGATTCCGACCGGGATCAGGTGGGGTCGGATTTGAGATCGTTCCAGAGTGGTTTCTTTTTTCTGGGATTTTTAAGGGGAAAATCTCCATTTTTAGGGCCTAAAAATTCAATTTTTTGGGATCAACCACACGTTTTCGGAAGGAAAAATTCCATTTTTAGGGTCTAAACTTTTATTTTTGGGAATAATCGTCATTTTTTGGGAAAATTAGGGAAAACCTGTGTTTTTGAGGGAAAATCCACATTTTTAAGAGGTAAACTTCACTTTCGAGGGAAAAAAAATATCCCATTTTTTGGGAAAAATTCCTCATTTTTTTCCCCTAAAACCCCATTTTTATGAGGAAAAAAAATCCCAATTTTTTGGCAAAAATTCCACATTTTTTTTCCCAAAAATCCCATTTTATGGGAAAAAAACCTCCAATTTTTTTGCCCAAATTCCCCATATTTTCTGCCCTAAAACCCATTTTTATGGGAAAAAAAAATCCCAATCTTTTAGGATCAATTCTCCATTCTAATGGGATAAAAAAATCCCAATTTTTTTGGCCCAAACTCCCAATTTTTTGGACCTAAAACTCACTTTTATAGGAAAAAAAATCCAAATTTTCTGGGACAAATTCCCCATTTGTACAGGAAAAAAAAAAATCTGAATTTTTTAGGATAAATTCCCCATTTTTGTGGGAAAAAAAATCCCAATTTTTTGGAACAAATTCCCCATTTTTATATTAAAAAAATCCCAGTTTTTTTGGCCCAAATTCCCCATTTTTTCCCTAAAATCCCATTTTTATGAGGAAAAAAATCCCAATTTTTTAGGACCAATTCCCTATTTTTATATGAGAAAAATGCCAATTTTTGGGACCAATTCCCCATTTTTGTGGGAAAAAAAATCCCAGTTTTTTGGCACAAATTCCCTTTTTTATATGAAAAAAAATTCTGATTTTTTTGGGACAAATTCTCCATTTTTATATGAAAAAATTCCCAGTTTTTTGGGACAAATGCCATATTTTTCTGCCCTAAAACCCCATTTTTATGGGAAAAAAAGATTGAATTTTTTGGCATAAATTCCCCATTTTTACAGAAAAAAAAATCCCGCTTTTTTGGAACCAATTCCCCATTTTTATACCGAAAAAATCCCATTTTTTTAGCCCACATTCCCCATTTTTTTCCATTTTCATGGGACAAAAACTCCGGATTTTCCCGTTCCGATCCCGTTTCCCGTTCCCAGGCGCTGCTGCGGCTGCTCCGAGGGCGGAATTTCGGCTCCGCGGATTCCGCCATCGTTTACTGCACGCGCCGGGAAGAGAGCGAGCGGCTGGCGGCGCTGATCCGCCGGGAATTCCCGGGAATTCCGCCCCCGCGACACCCGGAAAACACCGGGAAAAAACAAAGGAAAGGTGGGAAAAATCCAGGCTGGGATTGCGATGAAATTCCGGTTTGGGAATCGGGGAAATTGAGGAGTAAAATGGGAAAAATATGGGGGGAAAATCTGGGAAAATGGAAGGAAAATGGGGGGATTTCAAGGGAATTTGGGGGGAAAATTGGGAATTAAAGGAGATTTCTGGGATTTGGGGTAAAAATGGGGAGATTTGGAGGAAATTTTTAGGATTTGGAGGAAATTTGGAGGGAAAAGGGAAAAATCTGGGAGAGAATTGGGAATTTGAGGAGTAAAATGGGAAAATTTGGGGAGAAAATTGGGAAATTTTGGAAAAATTGAAGGAAAATGGGGCATTTGAAGGAAATATGGGGAAAAATTTGGAATGAAAGGGAATTTCTGGGATTTGGGGTAAAAATGGGGAGATCTGGGGGAAAAGGAAAAAATCTGGGAGAAATTTGGGGATTTTGAGGTAAAAAATGGGGAGAAAAATGGGAAAATTTAGGGAAAATGGGATTTGAGGGAAATTTGGGGAAAAAATTGGGAATGAAAGGGAATTTCTGGGATTTGGGTTAAAAATGGGATTTCAAGGAAATTTGGGGTAAAAATGGGGAGGTTTGGAGGAAATTTCTGGGATTTGGAGGAAATTCGGGAAAAATCTGAGAGGAAATTTGGGGAAATGGGGAATTTGAGGAACCAAATGGGAAAAATTTGGGAGAAAATTGGGAAATTTTGGGAAAATTTAAGGAAAACGGAGAGATTTCAAGGAAATTTGGGGGGAAAATTGGGAATTAAAGGGAATTTCTGGGATTTGGGGTGAAAAGGGAAATTTGGAGGAAATTTCTGGGATTTGTAGGAAATTTGGAGGGAAAAGGGAAAAATCTGGGAGAAAAGTGGGAATTTGGGGGGGAAATCTGGGGGGAGTTGGAGGGAAATGGGGAATTTGAGGCATAAAATGGGAAAAATGTGGGAAAAACTGAGGAATTCTGGAAGGATTTGGGGGAAAAACGGAAAATTTTAAGAAAGTCTGCGCAAAAATTTGGGGAATTTGAGGCATAAATGGGAAAAATCGGGGAATTCTGGGAAAATGTGAGGAAAAATGGGGGAATTTTGGGAAAAATTTTGAGGGAAACCAGGAGAACTTTGGGGAAAAATGAGGAATTTTGGGAAAATTCACAAAAAGCGTTGGAATTCTGTGTTTTGCTTAGGGAAAAATCAGGAATTTTGGGTCTCGGCCGCGTACCACGCCGGGTTGGCGCCCCGGGAACGGCGGAAAATCCAACGGGATTTCATGGAAAACCGGATCCGGGTCCTTTGTGCCACCATTTCCTTCGGGATGGGGTTGGATAAATCCGATATCCGGGGAATTATTCATTACAACATTCCCGGGAATCTGGAGAGCTACGTGCAGGAAATCGGGAGAGCCGGAAGGGACGGAAATCCCGCCCGGTGCCACCTGTTCCTGGAGCCACAGGTGGGAATTCTGGGGGGAAAATGGGGAATTCTGGGGGAAAATGGGGAATTCTGGGGGAAATGGGGAATTCTGGGGGGAAAATGGGGAAATCTGGGGGAAAATGGGGAATTCTGGGGGGAAAATGGGGAAATCTGGGGGAAAATGGGGAATTCTGGGGGGAAAATGGGGAAATCTGGGGGAAAATGGGGAATTCTGGGGGGAAAATGGGGAAATCTGGGGGAAAATGGGGAATTCTGGGGGGAAAATGGGGAAATCTGGGGGAAAATGGGGAATTCTGGGGGGAAAATGGGGAAATCTGGGGGAAAATGGGGAATTCTGGGGGGAAAATGGGGAAATCTGGGGGAAAATGGGGAATTCTGGGGGGAAAATGGGGAAATCTGGGGGAAAATGGGGAATTCTGGGGGGAAAATGGGGAAATCTGGGGGAAAATGGGGAATTCTGGGGGGAAAATGGGGAAATCTGGGGGAAAATGGGGAATTCTGGGGGGAAAATGGGGAAATCTGGGGGAAAATGGGGAATTCTGGGGGGAAAATGGGGAAATCTGGGGGAAAATGGGGAATTCTGGGGGGAAAATGGGGAAATCTGGGGGAAAATGGGGAATTCTGGGGGGAAAATGGGGAAATCTGGGGGAAAATGGGGAATTCTGGGGGGAAAATGGGGAATTCTGGGGGAAAATGGAGGATTCTGGGAGAAAATGGGGGATTCTGGGAAAATTTGAGGGAAAAATTGGGGAATTCTGGGAAAATTTAAGGAAAAAATGCAGGAATTTTTGGGGAAATTTGGGGGAAAATTGGGGAATTTTTGGCAAAATTTGGGGGAAAAATTGGGGAATTTTTGGGGAAATTATTTGGAGTAAAAATTGGGGAA